TTGCCAGATAAAAATATTTGTTCAGATCGGACTCCGCGGGGCGGGGGGCTTCTCGTCTGAGTAGCTCTCTGGTCTGTCAGTTGAAGATAAATGACGCCAACTGAATGTGTAATATTTTGCGCTCCAGCCCGTCCAAAAGGGTATCAGCCAGCTAAGGTCGGATATTGCTGTTATGTTATACGTTAACAATAATGGTTAGCGTCTCAACCCTGTCGAGCCCTCAAAGCGTCTATTCCACCCCGTCTAGCCCAAAATGTGATGGACCGGCATTGCTAGATTGGTGCACCTCGTGGTGAGCCTGTTGTCTTCGGATGAGGTTAGCCCGTCTGTGGCTGTCCTGAACGGGTTGGACACCTGGGGCGCCGTGTAGTTTCTCGTTCAGCTCCGTGCACTCGGTACACTCATGAAGTCTCCAAACTTCGTAACTTTGACGAGTGGCCTCGCCTTCTTCCACGTCTTGTTGAAGTACGACGCGCTGAATGGACGGTGATCCTGTCCACGGACACGCTGCTCGTTCTCGACGAAACGCTGGAAGAGCTCCTTCGATACATGGGCAGGGGCAAATGCGGAGGTGGCGTTTTTAAACTTGGCCACGGGCGGGCACATAGCAGAACAACTATCACACGAGGAAACCGCTCTCCTCTTGAATATCCATAATTTCGAGGGGAAAATACGCCTTGAACGAGTGGGACCCATGGGATTAGCGGCAACCTCAAACACACAAATCGCGAGAATACGATTTCAGTCGCTGGGCGCCTTTTGACACATATGACGGGACACGGTCGAATGTTCATGGGTTGAGACTCGAAACCCATGTCAATACTCCTGCAAGTTCTGCAACAACATCTTCGTAGAGAGGGTTGCCAAAACATGCGCCCACTAGGGCTATACGTTCCAGACGGGATTCACCTACAAGACTCAGACATTCAAAGGGCTGACCATTTCCTTCCACAGGTAATTTGATCCCGATGGCCGCGCACGACAACGCTGATACCGCAATGTGATAAAAATGCAGAGGTGCGTGCTCACAAACAAAGACCGTGGTGCAAAGCAGTTCGAAGACCATTTCGCCAATACGGAGGCACCCCCATGTAGAGCTAAGGCGGGCTATCGTACGTACGTAGGGATCTACTGGAATTCCTAGCAACAAATCTGCTTGATTTGGAGAACACGGCAACCTCTATATATTGCGAGCCCCCATAACCACGAAACTGTTGCGTATCATATAGCACCGCGCAACGGAGTGTGATAAACGTCGTTACAAAATGCATCAGAACAACAAATACCCCCCATCTGCGGCTTGGTTGATGCATATACGCGTGCTGGCTCCTGTTATGACATGCAGAGGGGGGCCGGGTTTAGTGCAGGGGTGTGTCCAGAGATTTTACGTGCACTAGCGGGCACCTCCACTACTCAGAAGAGTGCCTCAATAGTGCAGGACCTGTGCTATTGAGGGCGCTGGTCAAGAGATTGTACCTGCACTTACCGGGCACCTGCATTATTCAACCTGCACTTTACCGGCCCCCCCTCTATACTACACTTCTCCCTGTTGTCTTCACCCTGTTGTATTTATTGACGCTTTACTTCTTATGTCTATCGTCGTCGGCGCGGTCGTTTTGTCCACGTGAAACGCATTAAGCAGTAAGTCGCATAAACTTGGACCGAATGTAGACGGTCGACTACTCCATGACCAAGAGGATGACAGAATCAGATGATGGGTGAATTATTCCCGAAACCTGTCGACAGGACTGTTCCAACGCCACAATCGGCACCGCTGTTATTGCTGCAGACTATGATGATACAGTTTGTGCATGAATATAAGGTTCGGTCCAGGGGTGCGTGGTATCTTAGACTATGTCACCGGTAAATGTAAGTCAACAACAGTTCTACCGCACACACGTGGCCAATCGGCTCATCGAAAAACCTTATACAGGGAGGACGAAGTCAACCCTCTGGAGGGTTTCCATTTTTGTTCGGTTTTGACCTGCGCCAACCGGCCCCGGTGGCCTAGTTGGTATCCGCGAAACCTTCTAGCGGTCAGGTCAGGGGTTCGAATCCCGGTGTAAGCGAGCTTTTCTTGCAAAGTGAGTTTATCTCTCGCTTCCGCTCCTGGTGTAGTGGATAGCGCTCGTTCGTGTGTACACAGAGGGAAGAGAGTGCTGAACTCTTCTCGCATAAAAAACTGAAGGCAAAGTACCGCAGGAGGGGAGGGTAGAGAGGGGCTCTTCTGTGTGACCACGGGTTGGAGTAAACGGCACTGGTGCTGTGAGCGCTGATTTGAAGTGAAGACAAAAAAAAAAGAAAAAAAAAAGGGTACAATATAAGGAATTTTTCCGGTCAACCCTCTGAGGGACTTGAGAACAGACCCTCTAGAGGGTATTGATACTGTTTCCTCAAGAGGGTTATGAAGCCTCTAGAGAGTTGCCAAATCCAACCCTCTAGGGGGGTCGCGTGTCAAAGTCCCTCTGAGGGCTGACTAAAAAAGCTCCTTTTATACCCATGGGGGGCCGAAAAACACGAAAACCCTCTAGAGGATATTCTGTTTGTAGCCTCTGCAAGCTGAGAAGACCCCCAGGGGGCTGCCAAGTTCATCCCTCTAGAGGGTTTTGTGTGTTTCAGTCCCTCAGAGGGTTAACTGCAAAAATTCCTTATACCCGATGGGGGGCGAAGAAAAAATGAAAAACCTCCAGAGGATATTCTGTTTGCAGCCTCTGCAGGCTGAAAAAACCTCCAGAGGGTTGCGAAACCTAGCCCCCTGAGAGGCTTGTGTGTTCAAGTCCCTCAGAGGGTTGTTTGCCCATATTTCCTTATCCCCTATTGGGGGCATAGAAAAATGAAAAGCCTCTCGAGGATTTTTTGTTCGTAGCCTCTGAAGGCTGAGAAGACCTCCAGAGGGTTGGTAAAGTCAGCCAGCTAGCTAGGGGGTTTGTGGGTTCAAGTCCCTCAAAGGGTTCTTTGTCCATATTTCCTTATTCCCTACGGGGGATCAAGAAAAAATGAAAGCCTCTCGAGGATAATCTTGTCTGTACCCTCTCTGCATGCTGAAAAGACCCCCAGAGCCTTTTTAAGGTTTTTAGTTTTGAAACCCCACTGTATACGGTACACTACGCAAATTTGCACAAACGCTGAGGAGACAGGTTTCTATTAGATCCATCTTATATTACTGAACAATAAGAGCGCGTGTTGTACGTGACACGCTACACGCACGCGCTTACAACGCGCAGCCCCCCGCCCACGCCCTCTCATTCAATTCCAAGATTATCCCATACCTTTTACGTGGCATGAAAAAAAGCGTTCGCCATGCGCAAATCCTGGTCTGTACTCTATATCTCTCTGCTTCCGATGGATATTCATCAACGCACATCTCGCCAACGAAAGCCCCTGCATCTCCTCCCAAAAGCCTTCATTCATCATTTTGCCTTTACCTAAACAAGGAAAATGTTGTCTCATACCGCTCCCCCTGGGGATCCCCTGTGTAAACTGATAAAAAACGCCTCCTGTTGGACCATCTCGTCACACAAGAGTCAAAAAAACTGTGGACTGGGATACGACATCATGCACGGCGAGAAACTACATAGCACTGGATGAACGGGTTAGTCAGTCGTACGGATAAGTTTGTTGCCTTCCTGGCAAACTGCCTCCTTGTCCTGCACCGACTCGAGGTCGCCGCCCTGGTCGCCGCTTTGTCCGCCGTTGCCGTCGACTTGTTCGTTCCCTTCTTCACCATTGCCGTCGACCTGCTCCTGCTGACCCTCGCGGTCGTGCCCCTTTTCGTGCCCCGACTCGTCGCCGTCGCCTTCTTGCTCGTTCCCCTCGACCCGGTCGCCGAGCCCGTCCGTCCCGGCCT